GAAGTTAACTCAGGGTTTCCTACTCTATCACTGTGTTCACATGGTAAATGGTAAATGGACTGGAGCACTCAAAGCACTTTACACAACTAGTACATTCACCCATTCACATGAGCACTTTTTTCTACTGTTTCTAAGTGATTCCTAACTAACATCCACACACATTCATACTCCGATGGATGCATTGGAGAGCAACATGGGATTAGTATCCTGCCAAGGATACTTCGCATGCAGACTGGGATCAAACCATCAACCTTCACATGAAAGAAGTGGTTTAGTATCACATGATCAGTTACAAACATGGACAGCATAATGGCATATTTTACAAAGAGAGACTGTAAAATATGAAAGTATGAGTTTAAATGCATAGTATCACTGCAGTGTGTATATGATAGGAGAAATGCCATATCTTATGTTAAAGAAAAGATGTTTGAATAAGTATGTGCTTTTACCGTATAAGTGCTTTATTGAAAAAGTCTGTTTAGAGCCAGGAAGGAAAGCTAGCCAAAATGCTGACTGTATAATTTAATAGACTGAATGCTATTATTAAGGCAAGAGAAAATTCCAAATTAAAGCCTATTGTGCTCTACTTGAGAATGGTTGACAGATCCCTCTAGGTTTGGGGGAGAGTTGTTTGCCTGGAGCATACAGGTTTAAATATCTTGGGCTCTTGTTTGTAAGTGATGGAAAGTTGGAGAGTGTGGTTGATGGGAAACAGTAATATGAGCACTGTACTGGACCATTGTGGTGAAGAGAGAGCTGAACCAGAAAGTAAAGTTTTTGGTATACTAATTGATCTATGTTCCAGCACTCACCTATGTTTATGAGCTTGGGGAAGTGACTGAAAGAACAAGATCATGGTTACAAGCAGCTGAGATGAGTTTCCTGTGTATGTTGGTTGGGCTAAGCCACCATGACCCAGCTTTGCATAAGTGAAAAGCGTAAAATTTGCTGATAATCAGTAGGAAAAAAGTAAAGAGTTATATTTATATGTTATTTTTTTCCTAAGGATCTGTGCACAACTTTTGTTTTGTTTATGCCAGTTTATGTAGAATATATTTCTGGTCATTTTTATTAGATCTAGAAGAAGAAGAAGATGCTCAGCCGGAAGATGGAGCGTTTGGAGGAACCTCTGCAGACCTTGCAATGATGAGCTCTGATGAGGATGCAGAAAAGTGTCCCATCTGCCTTAACTCTCTCAACAGCCAGCCTGTGGCAACACCAGAGAACTGTGAGCACTACTTTTGTTTCGACTGCATCCTGGAATGGGCCAAGGTGGGTCTGAATTTATGATGTATGAACAAAAGAAAACGTTTACTTATGAAGTGTCTTACATTTTTTAATAATCGCTATTTTCTCTGCAGTTTTATCCTTTTGTGGTAGAATCAGAAAGATTTTATTTATCCCCAAGGCGCAATTAGGATACAACAGGGCAGCATGACGTTAAAGATAAAGGCAGGGCATAAACAGGCAATAAGAATGACATAATAAATATACAGTATATACACAGTTTTAAAATTACACAGTTTTAAAATTAAAGTGACTAGGTGAATAAATAACCGTAAGTGACTAAAAGTGAATAAAGTGTCAGCAATATAAAAGAGTGTAGAGTAGTTTATGTTTCTGATGTGGGAAATGGTCTTATCGGCTGGAGTTAAAAAGCAGAGTGGCTTTGGGGACAAAGGTGGCTCTCCTCCTCT